AGTAGTAGTAGTAGTAGTAGTAGTAGTAGTAGTAGTAGTAGTAGTAGCGTTAGTAGTCGTAGTCGTATGCCTTTTTTGCATGCCCGCAGGTCTGCAGACATTCCCTTTTGATTAGTATTCTTTGGTACACTTGTACCGTACCCTTTTGATTAGTATTCTTTGGTACACTTGTACTGTACCCGTGGACATGTATCCGCACGGTAGTCGTGTTAGCAGTTGTAGTTGCAGTTGTAGTATCATAGAAGCGACAGTAGTAGTTGTAGATATAGCAGTTGTTGTGTTTCCTGTTCTTTGTTGTAATTTGCTGCTATTTGTTATTTTTTTGTTTGTCGCTATGTGTTGCAATTTATTGCTTGTTGTTCTTTGCTGTTATAGTGTTGCTGCTGGCGCTCTTGCTGTTGCTGTTGCTTGCTTGGGTTGGGGTTGGGGTTGGGGCTGGGGCTGTGGCTGGGGCAGTGGCTCTTGCTGTTGCTGTTGTTGTTGTTAGCATGTTTGAATGGCCTGTGTCGCAAAGTTCCTAACAGTCCATCTCTCGGGGGGTCCCCCCTCGGCAGATCAGTGCGCCGACCCGGCAAGCCGGACGCGTAGGCCGTCGTTCCATACGAGGCGAGCTACGGGGCGACGGGCCGGGCGGTCTCTCGGTGAATGCTTGACACGCTAGGCGCGGAGGCGGCCTTGCAGGCTTGATGGGGACCAATGGACCCCTCGAGGCGCAGAGCTCGTAACGATGACTCTGACCTGCGGAAAGCGTTGCGACTGTGGCTGCTTGCATGTCAGCCATCTCGGCCTTGCATTGCAGCTCTTGCAGGTATGTAGATATAATGATATATGGTGTGTCCAAACTGATCTGCAGCTCGAAAAGTTCTGAAATCAACAAGGCTTTGAATTGCTGCATACTGAGCATAAGCATACATGTTTCCCCTTCTAAATGACCCCAAACCAAAACAATCACCCCCATGGATGTCTAAATGGCCAACTGAAGATCCCTTTAAAAACATCAGCCATCTTTGATCTTGGGAGGAACGAGACCAAGTAACTAAGTTGCCCCTCCAAGCAAAAACTACTTGACACCACCATACAAACATAGAACAATATACAACCCAACGGCCTACACAATCTACACAAATACCCTTCCCCCCCAAAAAAAACACATCAGGGAGTTTCCGTCGCCGCTCGGACTATGGACCAAGGTGCCGAGGAGACCGCCTTCACTGCCATGGTATGACCTTCACGGCGCTCCGACAAACGTCGCCGAACGGCGGTGGTGCCCACGGCGGTCGATCGTGGTGCCCATCGGACCGACTATCGTACCAGTTTTGGTTGACCTTGTGGTGAAAAGCCTATCCATAATGTAGTCCTCTGATTTATAAACGCCCCTAGAATAATGACTTTTTTTCTGCGCAGATTAATAAAGGCACCAAAATAGTGTCTTTTTTTTGGAGGGGTAGTTATAGTGGAATATTGTTTATTGTTATAGTTTACGTTTTCCCTTTTGAGTTTGCTGAGATTTGCTTATCTTACAGGCTTTTGGATGGAGATTTCTATTAAACATTTGGAGGTTTCCATTGAGATTTGATGCTTTTGGAGGCTTTTGGATGGAGATTTCTATTAAACATTTGAAGTCCCTTTCTTTTACCCAAGCTCTTTAGTCTTTAAGGTTTCCAAAAGTTTCCAAAACCCAGCGCACACTTTCTTTACAAAATCCCTTATTCAAAAGTATTGAAAAAACAAAAAATCATTCAAGCAAAGGGGGTAGTCCAGCAAGCAGCTTTCTGACATTATTTAGGGGGGG